TGGGCACAGAGCCTGGCCCTGCCTTTATTGATCATTGAGGCCTGGACAGGTTACTTAGCCTTCGTGTGTTTATCTGTGAAATGGAGATTCAGATAAGGTGTTAATGTCGATATCTGTGGGGATTTAGAAATACTCACCCAATGCCTGCACACATAAAGCACTCATTGGGTGCTCATTGTCCTTAGTATGGAGGTGCCTGGATTTCAAAGGCTTCTCACCCAAGAGAGGACTCTCCCTCCCCCCCACTCCCAATTCTTCAAACAGCCAACTTGAGTTGTGGTTCTCTTTTATGGATGCGGGAAATGAACTACTTCCAGGCGGGCAGGTGGGCCAGCCTCCTCTGTTGGTAAGACGTTTGCTTCCATGTGTCAGTCTGTGAATAGGCCTGGCCAGCTCAATGCCAAGTGGCCTGAGGGTGGCTAACCCACTGCCCTGGTCCCCTGGGTTGTAAGACTCCACATTGGGTGGTGTAACAGTCCGGCACCCTCTCCCCACAGCAGGTCCCATTAAATGGGTGATGGTGGTGGCCCTGATGTCAGCCAACAACTCTGAGCACCCCCTTCCTGTCTGCTGGGTGATTGGAGCAGCCTCCGCAGGGCAGCGCAGTGTGGTCCCTCTGGAGTGGAGCGGAGAGGGGCGGGGTGCTGAAGTCAGACCAGGACATCCCAGCTGCCTCCTGAGCTCAGCAAATGGGAAGTGAGGTCACTTCTTAGCCTCCAAGAGGTGCTAATGTCACACAAGTCACCGAGTCACTGCGTAAGTGAGCAGGGCCAGGGCTGGGGAGGTGGGGAAAATTTAAGGAGGCACCCCAACTTGCGCAACGCAGACAGCGAGTGCCTCCTTAAAGCTTGCCCCTGGGTGCCTTCCCTGCCTCGCTGTCCTCCCCACCCAGCCAGCCAGGGCTTTGGACTGAGCCAAGCTCCTGCTAGTTGTTTACCTGCTTCACACCTGGCATGCTGCCCATCACTCGTGTCAGTGGCTGTAACAGGCTCTCATTCATAATATCAACAGCAAGCACGCCAACCCCCTCTCGCCCCGCCCCGCAGTGCTATCGCTCCCCTCCCCCTCCACCCCCACCGTGGGCCCCAGGGGAGTCGTGGCCTCTGGTCCCTTCGCCCCCTGGGGCGGGCTGAGGGAAGCGGTGAAGGGGGGAGGGGGGTGAAAGGAGTTGGTGGAGGAGATGTTGGCCAAGGTTGGCTCCTGGCACTGCTCTAAGCACTGTCTGTGCATTAACTCTAAGTCCTTACAACAATTCCTTTGTCATTCCCAGTTGCTGATAAGGACGTTGAGGCTAGAGAAACTTGTCCTAGGGGACACGGCTGGTATGTGGTCCAGCCAGGAATGACCGCAGGCAGTCAGATTCTGGAATCCAAACTCTTAACCATTCCCCGAAGCTGCTGAGGTATGCCGGTCCCTCCACAGCCTGGCCCTTGCCCCGTTTCCAGCCTCCTCTACCCACATTGTCCTTGACTTCCGGCCCAAACTCACTCCCTGGAGGGGCTCCCGGGAAGCCATGTTCTTCATACCCCTGTGCCTTTAAAAAAAATTTTTTTTAATTGATTTCATAGAGGAAGGGAAAGGGAGAGAGATAGATACATCAATGATGAGAGAGAATCATCGGTAGGCTGTCTCCTGCACACCCCACAGTGGGGATCAAACCTGCAACCTGGTCATATGCCCTGACCGGGAATCGAACGATACTCAGCCCCTGAGCCACGTTTCCTCTGTGAAGCCTTCCTTGGCCACCGTCCCCCGAGTGTTAATAGCTGACCCTCAGTGCCTTCAGAGAACACTGATCTTCCTTGGTTAAGGTGACCAGATTTTAACATTGGTAAAGCGGGACACCATTGACTGGGTGGGGGGGTTCTTGATAAAAAATTTGGTCTGTATGGAGCAACAAAAATTTTCATAAAACGCAAAAATAGTATTGTAATATATATATTTTTAAATTTCGACATAAGTACAATTTACAAATATAATAACTAAATAAATAAAATTATGTATAGTCGTAAGTGTCACTTTCAAGGCTGGCGCTAGACTTTTTACCACCGCTATAAAATATAAATAATATGAGTACTGTCTGCTAAATTCAAGAAAATTTATGTATTTATGAAATAAATAAATAAATTACTTACCTAAATTATCTGAATAGCTGATTTGTAATAACATCACTTGTTTAACTAGCTTATTAGCATGCAGTATGATATGTATCATCTGAGAGACAGTTACAAAATGCTTTTGTCGTTGCCAATCCCCAAAAATGCCATTGTTCATTAAGTCCAGACAATGGCGGTCGAATTCTAACAACTGATCAACAATGCGAACTTTGATAAGCAGTTCTCGATATTCAGCTCTCAACAATTATTTGTTATTATTAAAGTTTAACATTATAAAATTAACAAAAATAATATAAAACTCATATCCTGGCTAAATAGCCACATGGCCGCCGAAAACCGCATATTCCCTTCCCGTTCTCCCGTCATTCCCTAGCTTGTCGTGCATTCTTCCCAAAAATCGGGACTTTTTTTTAAAACGCCGTGGGGCAAATTGTTAAAAATCGGGTCACCTTATCCTTGGTGCCTTCAAGTTGCTCTCAGGGGGGTCTGCTGGGACGGACAGACAGACAGGCAGGCAAATGAAAGTTCAGCTGACATGAAGGGGGCAGTTGCTCCTGCTGGGAATAAAGGCAGGAGAAACTATGTCAGGGGCCTGAGGGTGGGAGGGTGAGTCACCGTCCCTTCTGTGGGTCTGTTGGCGGCGTTCCCTCGGGCGCCCAGGGTGTGAGCTTCCTTGCTTGAAGGGAGCATCCACCACTTAGACATTTTCCCCGGCGCTCAATCCTAGAAGCGATGGGCCCACCCAGCCGCAGCCGGTGAACTTGCAGAGAGGGAAGTGGGTCTGCCATGTGCCATCTTCCCACGACAGGTCAGGGCGGTGTTGGCCAAAATGAATTTCCGGTATGGGCTTGCTTTGGAATCTGACTGCCGTGCAGGCTGTGACGGATCAGCGGGGCTGATTCACGATTGTGCTGTCTGCCTCCCGCACCTGGGCACGCCCGCAGGGCACCAGGCGCCTCAGGGTGCCTCTGCCTCCTGCTGCCTGGGCTGGTTCCAGGCCCTGGCGGACAGAGGGGAGGAGCCCCCGAGGGAAGCACACCCAGATCTGAAGCAGCTGGTCCGGCCCCATGGAAGAAATGTTAAACCCCATTTGTTAGTCATTTAACTGCATTTCACAAGTCTGGGAGCAAGTAACTCCCTTGGTGGGATCCTCTCTCTTGTCTTTGTTTCCCTTGCAAAGAAACAGAGCGGCCGGGAGAAGAAATAACGGGCGTTTGTACACGACCCTGTGATACAGGGATGAATGGACGGTGATTAATGAGTGGTGATCAAGGCGATTGGAAATTCCCCCAGAAAAGCTGCTGGGGAGGCAGACGCCAGCGAAGGTGTCCTAATAAGGGGCGGTCGGGAGGCAGGAGAGGGACGAGCTGTGACTCATGGGCCAGGTGAGGCGCCTGCTCACGTCCCGGATGCTCTGAGCCTGGCTGCCGGGGGCTCCGCGGAGACCTCAGAACCACCCGGAACGGAGCTCTGTCTGGGTTTCTGGGAGCCTGGGAATTAGATCTGAAATGGTTTAGCAACGAAATGCATGTTCCCGGGGAAACCAAAGAAAGAGGTTGAAGAAGAGAATTCGCATCGGTTTTCTTCCTTTTCTAAAAACATATTTTTATTGACTTCAGAGAGGAAGGGAAAGGGAGAGAGATGGAAATGTCAATGATGAGGGAGAATCATCGATCGGCTGCCTGTTGCATGCCCCCCACTGGGGTTCGAGCCCACAACCTGGGCAGGTGCCCTGACGGGGAGTCGAACCGTGACCTCCTCCTGGTTCATAGGTCAACGCTCAACCGCTGAGCCCATCTGTTTTCTTTAAGTGACAGTGCACTCGTCAAGCACTCAGATACACTGGTCCAACTGGGGGTGGTGGGGTTGGGGGTGCTGAACACGGTGGGACAGAGGCAGCGGCTGCAGCCCTGTGAGCCCCTGTGGGCCCCTGCTCCCACCACGGGACCCACCTCTGGACAATCGTCCCTTCGTCTGCTGCTCCCAGGCCATCGGGCTCATCGGCTGCCCAGAGCCCACGGTCAGGACACAAGTCAGGGAAGGGGTGGCGGCTTACCGAGGAGAAAGTGGTTCTTCCCCGAGAAGACTGGGAGGTCGACAGAGCAAAGGGAATGGGAGAGAGACTGCACTTGGTCAGAATCAGGGCCCCATCCTAACCGGGGTGCACACCTCTGTTTGATAACCAGCGCCTCTCACTGGCCTGGTCTTGTTCGTCCAGATCATTGGCTGAACCCCAGCCTGAGGTATTCGCATTATTTTGCGCTAATTTCCAAATTTGCTGACATAATGTGTTTATATCCAATGTCTGTGAAAGTTTTCCTTCCCTCCAGGACTGCGTGAGTTTACGTATGTACATATGTATGTATGTACCTATGGCCCTGTGTACATAGGTATATACTGGGCCTGTGACATGCCCAGGGCAGGAGTCAGCAGTGCTTTGCAGATAAGCATGTCCCCCACAAACAGTTTCAGGGTGTGGGCTTTGGTCTGCAGTCATATTGAGAAGAAACGTGGCACTTTCTCTGATTGATTGCTACTGATACAGACAGAGTATCTGAAAACAGACAGCCCAAGCCACGTAGGATGTGGTTTACTATTTTTTAACTTTTAGAAAAATGAATAATTCAAACCAGAGACACGTGTCAGTGTCCAGCCCACAGGGGCCCGATTCTTTCCCGCTGGTAAGGAAAGCAGTCGTTTTACATCACCCCCTCTGGGCCCTGAGTGTGTGTGTGTGTCGGGGTCGGGGGTGAGGGTTGAAGGGGGTGTGGGAAGGGACAAGGAACAAAGGTGTCAAAGAGGGCATCCTCTCGGGACCACTGAGAGGAGACGGCAGGTCTGCAGACCTGAATTGTCCTGCTCACTCCCTTTCTCTTCCTTCAGAGGCTTACATTCTCGGACTGCCCCCTACGCTCAACATCACGATCGAAATAAAGCCGGGGCTCCTGCCTCTGCCAGCGAATCCCTGTTACCTGCTCACAACTGGAAAACGCACGAGCAAGCTGCTCATCAAACCGGGAGACAGAATGGAACTTCTTTTTTCCTGTCATAATCCAGAGGCTCACTTTGTCATTGAAGTCAAAAGGTACATTGGTAAGTACCCCCTGGGGGACTGCGGCCCGCCCAGCCGGCCCCTAGCGCTGGGGAGCCGAGGTCTGTTTGGAATCTGCGCCGCATTCCGTTCTGTGCATGCCTGGTGCGGGCTAGGTTGTTTAATCCTCCAAATGGCCCTCGGAGAAGTTCTCAGAGGGACTTGCCTGAGATGGCACAGCCAGCGCGTAGCAGTAAGACCAGAGCCCAGGCTCTTGGGCTCCAGGGTCCTGGCCTGTGACCACTGAGCCACACTGTCTCTGAACAGAGTTGTGGGTCTTCGGGTGTGGGGTGCACAGTCGGATGTGCTGAGAATACCTGGCTGATGACGGGTTGCGAGTCAAGGGATTGGAGAACAAAGGAGATGTAAGGTTGAGGAGGTGGGTAGAGAAAGGGGTCCACACGGCTCAAGGGAAGAGGTGGCAGCTGTGGAGGCTGAGGGGGCTGTGTTTCATGGGCCTGCCTCTGAGTTGCTTAACTCCTTTGTGACTTGGTTTTCTAGTCTTTTATAAAATAAGAGTCCTTTACCAGCCAAGAGGGTTGTTAGGAAGATGACCTAAAGCAATGGCTTGAGAGAGTGTGTGATACACACGAATGCAACAAACTATTGTCGCTACTCAGAACCTGAGCTTGGGGTAGGAGATTGGCCCAATAACCATCAGGCAGAGACAAAAACAAAGTGTGTATTTCCCCATCGTTTTAAGGTGGGTGTTCACATACTGTTTGTGATCGGCTCAAAGCCTGCTCAGACGTTTCTTCACCTTCCACGGAAAATAGGTGAATCGGGCAATAGATCATGAAGGGGGGGAAAAAGGATGAAATAAACCGTAGGAAGAAGGCATTCAGAAAAATAAAAGGAGAAATTAAAATCCTTAAAGTTACATTTGATAACTCCAAACCAAGACCTGGTTTTCAATAAAGACCGATGACATAGACACATCTCTGCCTGGTCTCCTAAAAAGGAAAGAGAAAATACAAGTATCCAGCATCGAAAGTATGATGTGGATTGAATGACATATACAAAGGCGGTTTCTAAAATTGTAAGAGACAGTGTGCAACGTTGTGATATTCAGTGTTAAAATCCGAATGGATGTGGTGATTTTCAGGAAAAACTTAATGAGCTCATAAAAAGCTAGGAAATCGGAATAAATAGAAAACAATGGAGGAGATGGGGTTTGGCTTAGTTAGAGATGGTTTCAGCCCTAGCTGGTTTGGCTCAGTGGATAGAGCGTTCAACCCAGGGAATGAAGGGTCCACGGTTCCATTCTGGTCAAGGGCACGTACCTTGGTTGCAGGCTTGACCCTGGTTGGGGCACGTTGCTGGAGGCAACCAATTAATGTGTCTCTGAATCAGGAAATAGATCGTGAAGGGGGGGAGGGGATGAAATAAACCCTAGGAAGAAGGCATTCAGAATAGACGTGGTCATTTTCAGGAAAAAAACTTAATAAGCTCATAAAAAGCTAGGAAACTGGGATAATTAAATAACAATGGAGGAGATGGGGTTTGGCTTAGAGATGGTTTCAGCCCTTCCTTTCTCTCTCTTTGTCTCTCCCCTTCCCTTCCACTACCTCTAAAAAATCAATCAAAAAGTATCCTTGGGAGAGGATTAACAACAACAAAGCGATGGTTCGTTAAGGATCTTCTAACACTGTGAGGAGCAGGAAATTCTGGTATTTAAGCCATTCTAGAGAAAGGTAGACAGGCTCATTCTGGAAACATCCAGGGCCCCCCATCTCTGTCACGGCACAGCTGCTCAGCTGTGCTATCTCAGCACACAGTCATCCATAGACTCTAGCCAGTTTGACTCAGTGGATAGAACTCAGCCTGTGGACTGAAGGTCCAGGGTTCGATTCCAGTCAAGGGCACATGCCCGGGTTATGAGGCTCAATCCCTAGTAGGGGGTGTGCAGGAGGCAGCAGATCAATGATTCTCATCATTGATGTTTCTATTTCTCTCTCTTTCTCTCTCTCTCTCTCTCTCTCTCTCTCTCTCTATATATATATATATATATATATATATATATATATATTTTTTTTTTTTTTTTTTTTTTTAAATCAGCCATAGATAATTGGTGAACACTTAGGCAGGGAATGTTCCAGTGAAACTTTATTTACAGTAACAGGTATTTGGCTGGATTGACCTCAGGGCTGTAGTTGGCCAAGTCCCATTCTGAGCATAGAAAGAGACGTTTCATACTCATTTCATAAGCCCTTACAACCCTGATGTCCACATAAAAAGCATAAAAAGAGAAAACCATTGACCAGTCTGTTATGACTATACAGGCCAAAAATAAAAATCTTAGATAAAATATAAAACATGTAGTAAAAGAATAAAGCAACAAGAACAGGGAGGGTTTGCTGAAAGACTGTAGGGTAGTTCACCATTAACAAGTCGGCTAATGCAATGCTTTGCTCTATTAGGTGAGAGAGAAAAACTATACATGATCAGCTTAAGGCACTGTTTTTCATGTTTTTAATACAACATTCTCAGTAAATCAGACATAGAAGGGTATTTGCTTAATCCAACGAAGTGTATCAGAACCTAGTAGCAAATATCTTATGCAACAGTCATTGCCGTAACCTGGGAAACAACATAAGAGTTCCCACAATGCATACTGTTATTCAGAAGTTCTAGTTAAATATTTAGGGATCGTCTTAATAAATACGTAGGATATCTATGAAGCGAAATTTGTAAAGTGTTACTGAGAGACAAAAGAGGAGACACAAATAAATGGAGAGATATACTGTATTCCTTGAAAATCTCCATACTTTGTAAATGTCAGTTCTCCTCCAAATTAATTGACCAGTTTAAGTCGATAACGATTAACATGCCAGTGCAGCTTTCACAGAGCTGAGGAGAATATTGATATGCATATGGGTTCCCTGGAGCCCTGGCCCGTGTGGCTCCGTTGGTTGGGGGTGGTCCCGTCTGGTCTGGTCGTTGTGACCACTCCTCCCTGTGTGGCCATCCTCAAAGCCGAAGCTCTTAGCTACCAATAGACAAGTGCTTACACCACCTGGCCTCCCAGTGTCCCGTGGCTGGCACAGAGTTGTGGCTGAGAGACGGAGTGAAAGAATAAAGCAACAAGAGCAGGGAGGGTTTGCTGAAAGACTGTAGGGTAGCTCCAGGTTCTTGGTATAGAATTAAATAAAAATCTCTCAGGTGGCCCAGGCATGTGGATTTTAAAAAAATATATATCTTTTTATTGATTTCTGAGAATAAGGGAGAGGGAGAGAGACAGAAACATCAATGAGGAGAGAGAATCATTGGTTGGCTGCCTCCTGCATGCAGCCTATTAGGAATGGAGCCCACAACCCGGGCACATGCCCTGACCAGAAATCAAACTGGCCGTCTTTCCGTGCCCTAGCCAACACCCAACCAACTGAACCACACCAGCCAGGGCATGTGTATTTCTTTTTCTTTAAAAAAAAAAAAAAAAAATATATATATATATATATATATATATATATATATATATATATATATCTCCATTGATTTCAGAGAGGAAGGGAGAAGATGAGAGGGATAGAAACATCAATGATGAGAGAGAATCATTGATGGGCTGCCTTCTGCACACCCCACACTGGGGATTGAGCCCGAAATCTGGGCACGTGCCCCGACCGGGAATCGAACCGTGACCTCCTGACTCACAGGTGGATGCTCAACCACTGAGCCATGCTGGCCAGGCGGGCATGTGTATTTTTTAAACTTCCTCCAAGTGCATCTGGGCTGAGAATCGCCCCTTCACAGGGTCAGTGATCCCACAAGGGCACGGAACCTGCGGGAGCCGCTCCATGTGGCCCCGGGCACGTTGGAGTGGAGCTGCAAAGTGGCAGGACCGGATGTTATAGGAAAGAAGTGACTTTATATAAACAATGAAGCTCGCAACAGCTCCTAAAAATAGGTGCTGTCTGTACTGACACACAGGCTCTAATTTTAGCCACATTCGTCACCTGGCTACCTAACCCTGTTTTGTGGGCTAGGTGGTGCCGTGTGTTGGCAGGGACTCGGGTTGAGCAAACACAGGCCGGGCTTCTGTCCTGGGACTGGGACTGTGCTGTAAGCGGCATGCCCGTCCCCTGGACTGAAAAAGGAGAGTCTTGGCGTGGATGACCTCAGAGGTCCGGCTCTAAAATTCTCCCATTATTTCGTTTTGAGGGAGCAGTGCTTTCAAATACCCGACTGGAACAGCCGTGAAGATGCACTGGTCGTTAGCCAGAATGGCCTGGCCGGCGTGGCTCAGTGGCTGAGTATCGACCTATGAACCAGGAGGTCACAGCTGGATTCCCAGTCAGGGCACAGGCCGGGATTGGGGGCTCATCCCCAGTAGGGAACGTGCAGGAGACAGCTGCCCCATGATTCTCTCTCATCGTGGGTGTTTCTCTCTCTCTCTCTCCCTCTTCCTTCCTCTCTGAAATCAATAACAGTATATCTAAGAGCATAAACAATGAAGTGGCCAGAATCCATCTCCCCTCTCCGATTCCCCATGCCCAGGACAACCGCCTGTGGGGTTGCCTGCGTGCTGTTACCTCTCCTACGCGCTGTCCCCATTCCTCCCCGGCAGCAGCGTGTCTCCCTTCGTTTCAGAAGCTTAGGAACCACGTCCAGCCAAGGATGCAATTCGTTGTAGCGTTAAGAAAATCCCACCGGGCAGTGAGATGTGAGCGAGAAAGCCACGAGGCAGGAAGAAACTGTGCCTCGGGTCCCAGCCATGAAGGGGCGTGTACGTGCGGAGTGTGCTCGGCGTCGATGAGCCTGGGGGTGGGAAAACCAGTTTTAGAAGGCAGAGCTTGACACTGAGCCCAAGGTTGTGAAATGGTGGCTCCGGCTCCAGGGCAAAGGGCTTCCCACCGACGGGACTCCACCGGCTTCATGTGAAAACACCAGCGCTAGGACGTGTCTTGGGTGTGGTTCCCTGGAAACAGCCTGAATGGGAACTTTCACTTAAGACACTTGTCAAGCCAAAACCGGTTTTGCTCAGTGGATAGAGCATCGGTCTGAGGACTGGAAGGTCCCAGGTTCGATTCTGGTCAAGGGCACGTACCTTGGTTGCGGGCACATCCCCAGTGGGGGATGTGCAGGAGGCAACTGGTTGATGTTCCTCTCTCATCGACATTTCTAACTCTCTATCCCTCTCAATCCCTCTCTGTGTAAAATCAATAAAATATATATTTTTTAAAAAGACACTTGTCAAGCAAGTGCCTGTGGGAGCACCCTGTGAAGAAGTGAGAAAGGAAGGAGTAAGCAACGATATTTTTGTTTGTTTGAAGTGATATAATTTCTATTTTTTATTTTATTTTTTAAATATGTATTTTTATTGATTTCAGAGAGGAAGGGAGAGGGAGAAAGAGATAGAAACATCAATGATGTGAGAGAACCATTGATTGGCTGCCTCCTTCGCACCCCACACTGGGGATCAAGCCCGCAACCTGAGCATGTGCCCCGACCAGGAATCGAACCCTGACCTCCTGATTCATCGGTCAGCCACTGAGCCACACCGGCCGGGCAAAGATATTCTTGTTTTGTTTTAAATATGTTTTTATTTTTAGAGAGAGTAAGACGGGCGAGGGAGAGAGAAAGAAACATTGACAAGAGAGAAATATTGATCGGCTGCCTCCTGCACAACCTTGACAGGGAATCGAACCGGTGACCTCTTGGTGCAACTGAGCCACGCCGGCTGGGCAAGGATGTGGTTGTAGCTAAAGTGTAGCCTCAGGCTGACGCCGGCATTGAAGCGGCTTCACCAGGTTGAAGTCCGGCATTTTCACGCCTGCAGTGAGCGGTGGTTGGCTGCGGGCTGCTGCTCCCTGTTGGGGGGCCGCGGAACCCCCAGGTGTCTCTGGCCCCAGGAGGCACCCCCAGCAGAGGCACTTCAGCAGAGAAGGGGGCTTCTGTGAGCCACTGGCCATCAACACCATGTAACCCAAAGATGGGTGTGTCCGCCTCGGGTGCTCCCAGCGGGTCTACTAAGGAGATGAGGAGGAGCAGGGGGTGGCCTGGCAGCACTGCTGACCAGGATTGTTCTGTGACTGTTTCAGACTGCACAGCAAACCCGTGTCCTTTGGGGGAGTTCCAGCTGCGGCCCCTGATAGCCATGTTGCCCCCCCTCAACCGAACGTTCACCTGGGACGCCCACGCTGGCAAGAGCGCCAGCCTGGAGCTGGGCTTCAGGCTTCGCCTCAGGCAGATCGGACACGGGGACAGCTGCCCCGACAGAGTCACCTACACCGTCAGCGGCAACATCGGCGCCACCGAGGTCCGGATCGGGACCTTCTGCAGCAACGGCACCGTGTCCCGGATCAAGATGCAGGAGAGCGTCAAAGTGACCCTACAGCTGCCGTGGTTCGACAACAGGCCCTCCTCTGGCTTCAGCATGGCCAGCCGGTCATCCATAAAACGTGAGCACGCCGGGCCCTCCCCTATCTGCTGAGGTTGAAACGTACAAAATCTCGCCCAGGCCGGTTTGGCTCAGTGGATAGAGCATCAGCCTGAGGACTGAAGGGTCCCGGGTTCGATTCTGGTCAAGGGCATATGTATCGGTTGCAGGCTCGATCCCTGGGCATATATATCGCCAACACTGGTGAGCGCTCCACACTGCATCCCGGGGGGGCGGGGGGAGGGGCTGTGCAGGAGGCAACTAATCAGTGTGTTTCATACGGATGTTTCTCTCTCCGTCTCCCCCTCCCTTCCACTCTAAGAGTCACTGGAAAAATATCCTTGGGTCAGGATTAACAACAACAAAAACCATACAAAATCTCTGTCGCTCTCGGTCAGAAAGGACAGGTGTTGGGAATGTTGTATGCTCTGAGCTGCATGCCTTACAGGGACTTCCGTAAGTGGCACAGGCCAGGCTACTCACTCCCAGTGTGGATCCACCCTTCTCTAGTAGCCTCGGTAGTGACTCTCTTTTCTTTGCTCTTTGTACAGTACATATTTATTTTCAAGAAATGAAATGGAATTGGTTCAATTCCTATCATGATAATTCCGCTTCTTTGTCCTGTCTTCTATCTATTTCACATTTTCGCTGACGGTGTCAGTGGTGTGCTAGGGCTGGCTCACAAGAGTTCATTGTTCAGTGTGCAGGAATTTTGTGAGCTGGTGATAAACAGAGCCATTCATTAAAACAGAATTAGCCGAGGCTGGTTTGGCTCAGTGGATAGAGCGTCGGCCTGCGGACTCAAGGGTCCCGCATTGTATTCCGGTCATGGGCATGTACACTGGTTGCCGGTACATCCCCGGTGGGGGGGGTGCAGGAGGCAGCTGCTCGATGTTCCTCTCTCATCAATGTTTTTAACTCTCTATCCTTCTCCCTTCCTCTCTGTAAAAAAAAAATCAACAAAAATATATATATTTTTTTAAAATGATGAGTGTAGAACCAAAGGCCATAAACACTCCAAACTCATTGCCTCATAGTGATTTCTCTACATTTTCCTGTTGTCTGTGCTCTTGAGGTTATTTATGCTGATTCTCTCTGCAAGTGGAAATCCTTTATGCTGGTGAGCTGCTGTCCATCTCTTCCTAAGCCCACATTCGGTCATCTCACATTGGTAGCTTGAAATCAGCCATGGCGGGAATATTTACACCAAGGAAATTGGCAGGACCCACATATCAGAATCCCCCCGCTGAGCCAGTTGTTAAACATTGACTTGCACGCCACTGATGCCTCCTCCTCATACCGTATCCCGACCCATTGCTCAGGACCTGTGAGCTCCCTTCCCCTGCCCTAAGCTGTGGACCAGTCAGAGCAGGGTCTAATCTCCTCGTTTGGCTTTCCCCCTCCCAATAGGACTGTGCTTCATCGAATCTGTGTTCGAGGGCGAAGGCTCGGCAACCCTGATGTCCGCCAACTACCCGGGTAACTTCCCTGAGGACGAGCTCATGACGTGGCAGTTTGTCATCCCCCCACACCTGCGGGCCAGCGTCTCCTTCCTCCAGTTCAACAACTCCAACTGCGAGAAGAAGGAGGAGCGGGTGGAGTACTACATCCCGGGCTCCACCACCAACCCCGAGGTGTTCAAGCTGGCGGACAAGCAGCCCGGGAACATGGCCGGGAACTTCAACCTCTCTCTGCAAGGCTGCGACCAAGACGCCCAAAACCCGGGGACTTTCCGGCTGAAGTTTCAAGTTTTGGTCCAAAGCCCACAAAATGAAAGCAGTGAGTGAGCCCACCTTCCTGTCCCCTCCTCCCCCAGCGCCTTCTTTCCTTCCTGATTCTCGGCTGTGGCTTCGGGACCGTTTGGACCCGGGACCCTGGGAGAGTTGCAGGAAGTGTGTTGCTAGGCAGCGAGGCAGGCCGATTGGTGAAGGCATGGCATGGCCAGCCGCTGAAACACAGGAAGAATCCGGAATGCAGGCTTACTCCATTCAGGGTGCTGGGTTGTTTTTGCGGTTGTTTTTGTTTTGTGAATCCTTACTCAGTATTTTTGTTATTATTGCTTTGTCTTTAGAGAGAGTGGGAGGGAGGAACGGCGGTGAGGGGGAAAGGAGAAACATTGATGTGAGAGAGACACACTGAATGGTTGCCTCCGGCGTGCACCCCAACCAGGGCTGGAAATCAAACCCCTGACCCCGCGGTACACGGGCCAATGCTCTACCCACTGAACACACCAGCCAGGGCTGCTGAGTTGCTTTTAATGAAGGCATTGGAAGGTTACCCTCTGGGCAGCATGTCTTGGCCTTATACTGGAAGACTCGATGTCCCCACACCATCAGCAATAATAATGATCGCTAACACTGTTGAGCGCTCTGCACTGCATTAAGCACGCTGCTTATAGGTCCCCGCTAATCCTTATTGCAACCCTGTGGGGGCGGCAGGAACTATCTTCGTTTACTGCTGAGGAACCAGAAGGTTCGGACAGGTTGTGGAACGAGGCTCACGTCACACGGGTGATGGGGAGCTGAGCGAGCTCAGCACCCAGAGCCCGTGCTGTGAGCCACACTGAGCCCCAGGGAAGTGGCTGAGCATGAGGTTGTGCTTCATCCCACACATGATTGCCCAGAGGCCTTGGAACTAAAGAAGGGAAGTCGGGGCCAGAATGAGGGTGAGGGGAAGTGCTCGGGACGCAGCGTTCAGGAGGCGCCCACTCCGAGGGGCTCCCCGTTACAGAGGTGAGTGCAGGCCCGCCCCCGAGAGCGAGGGCCTCCTTACATGGCACTTTCTGAGCCCTGGGCCCTCGCCTGCCTCGCCGGAGTCCCGGTCCTGAGGGTGGCGGTGTGGACTCTGAGATGATGTACAAGGTGAGGCCAGCGTGGTGGGGCTCATCTGTGAGCTAGAATCTGTGCAGGTGTCTTACCTGCGGAGGATGGGCTCTGTCCAGAGGGCTGGCGCTCAGCTTGTTTTTCTCATTCACTTCTGGGAAGCAGGCAGGAAAATGAAGTGGGAGTGGGGAGTGGCGTGCTGATTCTGTTTGTGAGAGAGACACGTCGGTCGGTCGCCTCCCCGACCGGGCCGGGGAATGCAGCCTGCAACCCAGGTGCGTGTCCTGGAACGGAATCGAAACCACGACCTTTCCCGCTGCCGCCCAGCTGATTGTCACACAGTCACGTTCGGAGGAAATGTATCTGTGACACCACAGAGCTGATCCCCACCCTCCGCCCGCCGCAACGGCTGACCTGGCAGCGGCGGGGGCACCAGCCAGGGTGGCAGCGCTGTCGGGAGTGTCAAACGGTGCAGCCCCATAGAGCCCTCTGGTCGTTTCTCACAGAGTAAAGCCTGTGCCTTCCTACTTCTGACCCTGACATTTCGCTCCTCGGTGTTCCCCCGAGAGGCAGCATGTAGGCCCCGTAGCCTCAGGAACATCAAAAACGGGAAACAACCTAAATCTCCATCGCTAGGAGAAAGGGTAAAGAGGAATGTGGTAGAATGCGGCCCCTGCTCTCTCTTTTTTTCTTTTCGATTTACGGTGATGCTGCCTGACTGACAGCGCCTCCCACATCCCCCGGGCGTGAGAGGCTTGGTGTGCCTCTTTGCCCATTTCACGGGTGTTCACGCCTGTCTCGTGTGTGTGTGTGTGTATGGTTCCAGATGTGACCTACGAGGTGGACTTGAGTAACGAGCGAGCCATGTTCGTCACCATCGAGCCGAGGCCCGTGAGGCTGGGCCGCCGGTTTGTGCCCGGCTGCTTCGTGTGCCTGGAGTCCCGGACCTGCAGCACCAACCTCACCCTGGCGCCCGGCGCCCGGCACCGCATCTCCTTCCTCTGTGACGACCTGGCGCGCCTCTGGGTGAACGTGGAGAAAACCATAAGTACGTCCCCCCGCACCCTGGGCCGCGGGCGCCTCTCCCACCCTGCCCCGTCTCCCTGGCGGGGCCCACGGGGTGGGGGGTGAGGAGAGTGACCAGCAATGTCCCCCACGGTGCCGGGCGAGCAAGGCCCACCAGGAAGCAGACCAGGAGGTGGAGGCCTGCCTCCCTGGGACCAGCCGCCTCCGCTGGAGCGTGCATCCTTCACAAGGGCCGTGGGTGGCCCGGGTCTGCTCACGTCTCCTCAGACCCCCTCTGTGCAACCCCTCCTTCTGGTCGTGGCCTCCCCATCCTCTCCCCTGCACGCCCCCTGCCTCCGCGCTCACTGCCCGCTTGCAGTCTCCCACAGGACACTCCGAGTCTGGAGGTCGGTTTGTCTCTTTTTTGTCGTTGTTGTTGTTAATCCTCATCGGAGGGTACCTTTTCCGTGGATTTTTAGAGAGAGTGGGAGGAAAAGGTAGAGACAGAGAAACACCAATGTGAGAGAGACGTCAGTTGGTTGCCTCCCACACATGCCCCACAACTGGGGGTGGGTATTGAGCCTGCAACTGGACCAGAATCGAACCTGTGACCCTTCAGATTCTCTTCCTGTGAGCCAAGCCGGCTAGGGCTATTGCATTTTATCCCTCTAGCCCCTAGCAGGGCTGGCCATGTGCTAGTCACGTAGTAAAATGTGTGATGAAGGGGCAGCCAGACCCACAGGCACCTCCCTGCAGGGCCCCCGTGATCTCTGGCGAGGATGCTCTCAGAGTCTCCTCCGGTGCAGGAGCCGGGGCCACCCCGTAGGAAGTGGCAGAGCTGGGATGCCAGCTGAGACCCCCAGCTCCAGGCCCTGCCGTCACCACCGCACAGAGCTGCTCCCATAGACGGGACACTGGGCAGCAGGCCTGGGCCCCGCCCACCTGGCACTTAGCATCTGAGACGCAGAGGGGACAACCTGGCAGACGAGAAGAGAAAGTTCAACCCTAAAAACTCGCAGAGAGTTGGTCCGCCAGGTCAGGAAGAACGTGAGAGAGCAGGGCGGGGAGCTCAAGAGGGAGCGTCGGGAGCCGGAGCCTCAGGGGGACGGCGTGGGAGGAAGGACCAAAGGGAACAGCCGGGAAGCCTGGGGCTGACTGGAGAGCTGGGAGGATGCTCTCCCTGTCTCCTCCCGGCCTGGGTACCACGAGCCCCTCCTTTTCCAGGCTGCACGGACCACCACTACTGCCACAGGAGGTCCTACTCCCTGCAGGTGCCCAGCACCATCCTCCAGCTGCCCGTGCAGCTGCACGACTTCTCCTGGAAGCTGCTGGTGCCCAAGGACAGGCTCGGCCTGGCGCTGGTGCCGGCCCAGAAGCTGCAGCAGCACACGCAGGAGCGGTTCTGCAACGCCAGCTTCAGCTACCTGGTGGCCAGCGCCGGCGCCGGCCCCGGCCAGGATCTCTACTTCGGCTCCTTCTGCGCCGGAGGCGCCATCGAGCAGATCCAGGTGAAGCAGAACGTCGTGGTGACCCTGCGCACCTTCGCCCCCAGCTTTCAGCGGGAGCTCTCCGGGCAGACCCTGACCGTGACCCTCATACCCCACTTCAAAGGTGAGGGCCTCTCTCATCCTCTTCCGCCTCCAGGCCTCCCTCGTGCGGGCATTCCTCCCCGTTTTGCTTTTGTAATCGTCTTACTCCAGTTGTCAGGTTGACGAGGGCCTATAGCTGAATGGGCTGGTCCTCACACCAGGCATTGGAGTCCTGATTCTGAGTCCAGCGCTAACCTGGAGTGGAGAATTCCAAGGCCCTGCGACAGGGGAGGGGAGGGTGGAGGGCAGCAAAACATACAATCGGATCCGAGTCTTTCTTGGAAGCGGGCAGAGCATAAGTTAGAACTAACCGCATGTTCCCGAGTCCTGGGTTTTTAAGGTGATAACCTAAAAAATCCTTATCCTCATAAAAAAAATCATGTTTATGATTCTGATTTGAGAACCCGGAATGCAGTATGGAGAGCGCCGGAAAGGAATGCTGGGAGAGAGAAGGATCTAGTACTCCAGGGTCCCGTTTTCCTGGAAGAGTACAGTGAGCTTCAGTGTCCCAGGCAGGAAATGAGGTCGAGATTAGTCACGAAGGTGTCTCTAGGACTCTGCGTGGCTGGTTTTAAAAGTTCCAGTCCCCATCACAAATCGCCCAACGAGAGGCAATCGGAGTATTGGCCACTGGCTTTCTCTGAGGTTCACTTCACTCTTGTTCTCAGGCCTCAGTATGAGGGAGAAGAACCGGTGGCGTTAGATGAAGGTCAATCTAGGTTGCTGGAGATCTTTAAGATTATCAGAGAAACTCCTTCCGGGGAGTTTGTGAAAGTAACACACTCATGGGTGTGGGGCGTGTGTGTTTATCTCCCCTGGGGGTCAGGAGTAGATTAGTTGACAGTGGATGTGTCATAGAGGCACTTCCTGCTTTGCAATTCCAGAAATCTTCTGAGGGCCTGATAGGTTTTTTAGTTTGTTTTGTTTTGTTATTTTTAGAGGGAGTGGAAGGGAGAGAGAAACATCGACCTGTTGCCTTCCGCACAAGCCCCCATTGGGGATCGAACCCGCAACCAAGGCACGTGCCCTGACAGAGAATGGAACCCACAGCCTTTTTGGTATACGGGACAGTGCTCCAACCAACTGAGCCATCCAGCCAGGGCAGGTTTTAATCTCAGAAACGGGAACTGGTGTATATCCATCCCACCGAGGGGCACAGGAGAATGTTAGCGATGTAGAGGGCATTCCTGAAAGGAAGCTGAGGTGACCACCAGTTCGGCAAACTGGCCTGTTTTCTGCTTGTTGGTTTTGTTTGTTTTGGGGGTTTTTTCCCCCAAAAGACCTGAGCACCTGATTTGACTGAGTCTCTAATCTTTTTTTTTTTTTTTTTTTTTTAATATATTTTATTGATTTTTTACAGAGAGGAAGAGAGAGGGGCAGAGAGTTAGAAACATCGATGAGAGAGAAACATCTATCAGCTGCCTCTTGCGCACCCCCTACTGGGGATGTGCCCGCAACCAAGGTACATGCCCTTGACCGGAATCGAACCCAGGACCCTTCAGTCCGCAGCGTCGGCTCTATCCACTGAGCCACACCGGTTTCAGCATGAGTCTCTAATCTTATGCTGACCAATTCAGTAGCCGGGGTCACCTGTGGCAACTTAATTGTAAATTAATAGTCAAGAAAGTTTGAAATGTGGTTCCCGCATCACACAGAGCACGTGTCAGGTCTTCAGCAGACACGTGTGACCGTGGCTACTCCCGTGGACGGTGCAGATGAAGGACAGAACGCTCTGTCGGACAGCTCTGGTCGTGTCCCTTGACCATCTTCTCCCTGCCACGACTTCTTCTCTCTCCTCTGATGGAAACGTCTGTGTTTCTTCTCTCCCCCTTCCTGCAGAGGAAGGTATTTTCACGGTGACACCGGATATGAAAAGCAAGGTCTACCTGATGACCCCTCACCGGGAGCGGGGCCTGCCGCCCCTGGCCTCGGTGTCCTGGAACATCAGCGTGCCCAGCGACCAGGTGGCCTACCTGACCTTCCTGCGGGAGCGGACCGACCTGGTGTGCCAGACGGGGCGCGCGTTCATGATCACCCAGGATCAGCGGACCAAGGCCGAGCAGGTGGTCAGCCTGGAGGACGTGCTCCCCAAGTCCAGCCCCCACCATCACAACTTCTGGGTCAACATCTCCAACTGCAGCCCTGTGAGTGGCAAGCAGCTGGACCTGCTCTTCCAGGTGTCGCTTACCTGGAGAACGCTAAGTAAGGGCCTTTGGGGTTTTCTGGGGATGTTAATGGTGCACATTGGTGGCAAAGGGGGAGGGAGCAAGCCTGGGAGGTGAGTCAGAAAACATAGCTTTGAACTCTGGCTTGTCCATGTATCCGTCAGCTATTGGGTCAGTAGTGCTGCATAACAAAACACCCCGGGACTCAGTGGCTTAAAAACAGCCATTATTATTGCTCAGATGGTGGCTGGGCAGTTCTGATCCGAGCTGGACTTATGAACCTGAGGGCAGCATGCGGGTACAGAGGGCGAAGGAGTGGGTGGCCTTCATCTTTGGAGACTATGTACTCTAGTCCATCACAGAGCTAATCCCACACATCTCCCCTCTCTCCCCCTCCTTCCCCCCCTGTGTCTCTGCTTACAGACATGACTGCCATCCTCATCGCCGTGGTGGGAGGGGGCGCCTTGCTGCTGTTGGCCCTCGGACTCATCATCTGCCTTGTGAAAAAGAAGTAGGTGGACTTTCTCCGTCTTCAGCTGCTCTGACAGCCCCTTGGATCACAGTGACCGATCACTAGTTTTGGGCCTTTTTGCTTGCTTCCCATTTCCCTCCCAAAGATCAATGTTAAATCATATTGCCAGATAGGAAGTATACTTAGAGGGGAAAAATATCCCATACCTAGCAGGGAGGAGGGAAGGGACAAAAAACCAAAATAGAGGTGTGGTGACATGAGCCTGCAGTGTTGTTGTTTTTTTTGCGGGGGTGGGGGGAAGGGTTGCTTTTGTTTTTTTGTTTGTTTTAAATTCTTTTTTTTTAAAATATATTTTATTGATTTTTTTTTTTTACAGAGAGGAAGAGAGAGGGATAGAGAGTTAGAAACATCAATGAGAGAGAATCATCAATCAGCTGCCTCTTGCACACCCCCTACTGGGGATGTGCCCGCAACCAAGGTACATGCTCCTGACCGGAATCGAACCCGGGACCTTTCAGTCCGCAGGCCGACGCTCTATCCACTGAGCCAAACTGGTTTCAGCAAGCCTGCAGTTTTTATGCAGCCACCTCAGCACAAGTCCCCTGGGCCCATCAGCCTGTGAGCATCGTGGGGGTGATCTCGGCGGGGTAATGGCCACCTGGGCCTCGCCAGTCCAGCCCTGCAAACCCCCTCCCTCCATCACCTGAGCGAGAGACAGAAGCTGGTTCTTTTAAATATTCAGTGAGCACAGTCGTTTTAGGTTCAAATACTAAGCGATTTGTGGGATGTGGGGGAGACACAGTCTCTTCTCCCACAGCCCGGGGGGTGCAGGGACCTGAGTTCCAGCAGGGATGGGCAATGGTGCCCGTCTACGACCGCTCTCTTCCTGACTCTCTCACGCCCTCTCTCAGTAGAAAAAAGAAGATGAACAAGGGCCCGGCTGTGGGTATCTACAACGGCAACATCAACACCCAGATACCCATGCAGCCCAAGAAGTTCCCGAACGCACAGAAGGACAACGACGCCCACGTGTACGCCGTCATCGACGACACCATGGTGTACGGGCATCTGCTGCAGGACTCCAACGGGTCCTTCGTCCAGCCCGAGGTGGACACCTACCGGCCCTTCCAGGGCCCCACAGACGACTGCCCTCCCTCCTTCCTCATCCCCTATTCCAAGGTCCCGACTGTAAAGCTGACCACAGAGGAGTCGTCCCCTGGCTTCCCTCCCGAGACTGACAGTGAACCCTACACCTTCTCCCATCCCAGCAAGCGGAACGGAAACGACGCGAACACAGACGTCCCCTTGCTGGATGCCCACGAGCCAGCGGAGACTGGGGAATAGCTCGGCCTCATGCCAAAGACTGTGCGTAAAGCAGGGCACTGAGACGCCCTGTAGGGTGCTCATCAGAAATCCTAAAGGGGAGGAATTGTAGGGAAGGAACAGCAGGGGGTTTTTCCAGGACACAGCCAACTTCTGATTTCCAAGTGGACTCATTCCGATGATGAAGACGTTGAAAATGATGAGTTCTGGTCTGGATATAGTCATCATGGCTCGTGTCCTTCTAAACTCGGTTGGATTAGACACTAGCCTGTAATGAGAGAGACATGAGCCACCCCAGTACAGGGTTGCAACTAGCCCCGGATTGGGGTCTGGACCTCTGTGTGAGGCGGGGGCACGCCCTCCTGACACGGCCGGAGAGACTACACAACGATCCAGCCCACCGGTGCGCTTCGTTTAGCCAACAGTCTTTTTCTCAGAATTATTATAAACATTTAAAACGATAAAATGTTTACATACCAATCCAGATCCTTAGGCCTGGCCATGCTGGGGCTCACAGTCCCACCCAGCAATGGCTGCATGGAGAAAGCCTCACTGCAACGGGGGCATCTGGTCTACCAGCTCCCAAGGTTCCCACCACGCCCTGTTGCCTCCCCGCCCTGAGGCTCATTGTCTGCCCCCAGCGATCCACACCCCGCAGAGCTGCTTCTCCCGTCGTTGAAAGGAGACGTTTGGGACCTGTATCTCGGATCAAATGGGAAGACAGGCCTCGAGGTTGGCGTGTGCCTCAGGAACGTTTTCTCACTCACAGGCCACAGCCCTTGTGGACTGTAGTTGCCAGCCTGGCTCCGGTGGGTGTCTGCCTTTGGGGGCCCCTGCTCAGTCCTCCCGGGCCAAAACCTCCTTTGAAAAGTGAGTGCGCTTCCTTGAGTTCGGTGAATTCACCTTGGACTTGTTCAAGCGGCGGCTGGACTTGTTCCCGTGCTACTTTGCCTCCATGAAAAGGAGTTCTGCAGTCTCCTCTGTGGTGTGTATTCCGAGGCCTCTTGAACTCTTTCCAAAAGGAAGAGATTGGTGGGTGTGTGTGTGTGTGTGTGTGTGTGTGTGTGTGAAAGAGAGAGAGAGAGAGAGAGAGAGAGAGAGAGAGAGAGAGAGAGAGAGAGAGAGAGAGAGAGAGATTGTGCCCTCAGCGCTGCTCGGCCTATGGCACCTTTCTCTTCTGAAAGGCTGGCTCCTGCGCAGTCCCCGGTCCCCGATCTCCTCCCCCCAAAGCCCCTGGCCTTGGCCTCCCAACCTGAGATGGGGACGGTCCCTGTCATTCCGGAGCAAAGCTGTGGCGTCCTTCCCTCCACTGAAACCGCATCGTCATTTAAAATCACCGGTGGAGCCCCGGCCCTCCATTCCCTACCTCCCCTTGCCCCCTGGTTGGCTGGGTGGGTGCTCTGCCTTCTGCCCCAAAGCGTGGCTGGCCGTCTTCGGTGTGGCTGTCACCGCACACATCCCCTTGAATAACAAGGGTCCCACGTGGCCATTTCCTTCTAACCGAGCGCGCCACAGCGCAGGCCGACCCGCTGTCTTCCGAGACCCGGCTGGATCTCACGTGTTCCTAAGATACGCCTGGAAGGTGCCCGCCCGACGTGCTCCCGGCTCCTTCCACCCCAATGCTTAACTGGGAATAATTTATTTGTTATCGTTTTTAAGTAGCATTTTATTTCCTACAGTTTTTTAAATAAACACATGAACAACAAAAGGGCGTCAGGTTGTTGAAATGCGTTGGCTGTCTGTCCCTGGGTCAGCGGAGGCCTTGGAGTTCCCTGGTTCCCTGGGGCAGGCTCACGTGGGCTCAGTAGATGCTGGGGCAGGAAGCCGGCTGCGGCTGCCTGTGGGTCACTCAGAGGCCAGAGCTTGTCCCGTCCTGTGCTTGTGGAGGCCACCGTGAGCCGCACCTGACCCCCCCATAGAGGCCTGGGGCCACTTGAGCAGAAGTGAAGGGAGGGTGGAGGGAGGGGGAACTCCAGGTGGGCCCCCACCACCCACCATGCCCTGGGAGAGGAGGATGGATGTTGCTGTCTGACCACCCCAGACCTGAGCTCAGGAATGTGCTGTGAGCTAAAGTTCCTCATCCGTGGACCGCGTGAAGGGGCTTCACAGCGTAGGGGCTGGCTTCTGAGAGCGAGTGTCCCAGCTTTAGGGAGTCGGAGCCGCCGGTGCTTTGTCTGTGGGGTCTATATTCTGTGGGCGCCTCCGTCGGCCGCCCAGACTTAATGGGAGGAAGCAAAGCCGCCAGGTCTCAGTGAGAGAGGGGTGAAAGGATTTGCACCTGCCTTGCTTTAGAATTAATTTTTAAGCATTTTATTGATTTTGGAGAGTAGAGGGAAACATCAATGATGAGAGAGAATCATTGATCAGCTGCTTCCTGCACGCCCCACACTGGGGATTGAACCCGCAACCCAGGCATGTGCCTTGACCCGGAATCAAACCGTGACCTCCTGGTTCATGGGTCGACTCTCAACCACTGAGCCGCGCCGCTGGGCTGCAGCCGCCTTTAATACTCCACAGCGGGGCTGGGAAGATCAGAGCCCAGTGTCAAGGCCTTGGCCAGCACTGACCATGTTCGCCGCTGGGCCACACCCCCCTCTACTGCCCCTTGACCCGGATCCTGTACTTGATCCCCAAGCTTCAGTCTTTGGGCTTCTGACCTTGTATCTCTGCACACTGCCCATGGGCTTCCACTAACGCTCCACGTCCTGGCTGATAGCTACCTGGGCGCCAGCTGCACGTTTTCACTGCCCGGAGGGTTTCCCACTCACATGCCCCTTGTGCCCCCACCCGTGCCACCTCTGTGCCCTCTCTGGGTTTTGTGGAGGCAGCTCATCCCAGGTCAGGAGTGTGCGCTGCCCAATCCTCTCCCCAGCCTCTCCTGCCTTCAGACCCTGCCTCCGAGGGACTCCTGCTCCCAGGAGAGGGGGTCATATTTCACACCTGCGTGGTTTCCTTTCTGTCCAAAGTGTCACATCAAAGCACCCTCAGCCAAGCAAACAGTTCCCAGGGCCAGCTGCTGCCTGTTTGGGGGTCCCCCGGGCTGCTTTGGGGCTTCAGAGGAGCCGATGAAGAAATGAGGAGGTGTGAACCTCCATCAGCCCCCCTGGCCCCCTCCTTGCCTCTGGGCCATCCCATGAGTTACTTCTGCTCTGGCGGCTGGCAGCCTACAGCATCTTCCGCAGCCTGGGAGGACTGTGTTCACCAACACAGTAATAAGGAGCAAAGTGCGTTTGTCGGTGTAAAGGTCTGTGCTCTGAAGAGAACAAAAAGAGGTTCTATAAAAGCAAACCCCGCTGTGTGGTTTCCAAGCTCATGCCTTTCCCTGCCCCTCCTCTTTCCCCACTGGCAGCCTCCTAAACGCTGAGGGTCCCCGGAGACTCGCAACCAGGCAGCAGCGGGCAGCAGCAGCTCGTCCCAGGCTGACCCCGTGACCCTGACCCCAAGGCCCCTTTTCTCTGGCTTCCCATGAGCCAAAGCAGCTTCGTCTCCATCCTGTTGCTGCTTCTGCCCTAAGCCCTGCCTTGGTTCACTGTCCCCAGCTTTAATGAACTCACTCTCAAAGTCAGCTGGATGCACGTTGTGAGCTCTCTCCTGTCAGGAACCCACACGCCACCGGCCGCCCTAAGCAGGCCTGTTCCGCACGCACCGGTCCCCTGGCCAGTAACCAAGGGACCGGACCCTGCTCAGTCCTTAATCCTAGGGCCTGGGGTGGTGAGGGGTCCAGCGGCTCCCTGGAGCTCGGGGAAAAGCGCCCGCCCGTGGGAAGGGCTGCTCAGAAAATCATGTTACGGTTGTTATGTAATTTGAGGGGGAAATATATTTTTAGCCGTAATCCATGTCTACAGCCCCGTGGGGGAGAGGAGGAGCCACTCTGCCTCGGACTTGGACTCAGCGGGGACTTTGGACCCAGGCTGGCTCCCTGGGTCTCAGGAGACCAGCAGGGGCCAATTCTAGTGGCAATCCTTTCTTTTCACCGGCTCTAATTGCTTGGCTGCCAGCCACCCGCAGGGCCACCCCCGGGGAGTGGTGTGCAGGCCGAGCACCAAAGGCGGAATCCTTTGCTATTTCTGGGTTAAGTCTCTTTCCCACCTTCCACCTCAGGATAGCCCTTCAACCCCTCTACCAGCACTGCTCCCTCACCCCACCCACACCCCTGGGGGCTGCAGCCACCCAGGGCCAGCATGCAGGCTAATTGCCATGAGTCTTTCATCTTAGTAATTGTTACCTAATATACCTTCTTTCTTTCTTTTATTTTTAAAAAATATATATATATTTTTTATTGATTTCAGAGAGGAAGGGAGAGGGAGAGACAGAAACATCAATGATGAGGGAGAATCATTGATCGGCCCCCTCCTGCACTCCCCAATTGGGGATCTAGCCTGCAACTTGGGCATGTGCTCTGACCTGGAATTGAACTGTGACCTCCTGGTTTATAGGTCAACACTCAACCACTGAGCCACACCTGCCGGCTGGGCTGTACCTTTTGAGTTGCAAGACAAATATCTCAGTTGGTCCCACCGGGAGCATTTTGCCTGGCACATACCAACTCAACAAATTCCAAATTGAGTTGGTCCTTCTAATCTCCCCCCCCCTCCCCCCGCTGAGAATAGTACAGCAGGATGTATCTTCTTTTTATTTAAATCATGAAACACAAAGAATGTGTGACTTTTGCCTAAAACCCTGCAGCAAGAACCCGGGTATGCTGATGGGGCCGACTCCAGCCTCCTGCTTCCCAAAGTGAGCGGGTGAGAAGCTGCTGTGGCTGCTGATTTATTTACTCAGTGTTTCCTGCTCCCGATGGCACAGGCCCCGTCGCTGTAGGGCAGCCTTCTCTGGGACCTTTGTGTAGGGATTACTAGGACTCAGGATCAGGCCTGTTCCCCTTTTTTTGCTTAGAAGCTTCTTCCATAAGGAAAATCACCAATGAGTCAAAAAATTTCAGTCTAAAGTCACCAAAGGAGAATGAATCAGTCTTTTGATTCAGAGAGCTCCATTTTCCCGGAAAGCTGAACATTCTTGAG